GGGAGTCTGTATTAGATTCTGAAGACGATTGATATTCTTGACCAAAGTTTAACTTGAAAATTGAAACTACATATATGGGTTGTCTTTTCCCCACCCTCTTCTTGAGAGCTGTAATAGGATCTATTAATCAATTCTTTCTTCTTCATCAAAAGAAGTTGCAGAGGAAGGTTGATCTATATGACAAATTTTATAGTAAGATGTCATGGATTAACTAGAGGAAAGACGAAATCGGATTGATAAAGAAGATGGTATGAAGGAAAAAATGATGAGAATGCAACACTAAGTGGAGTACAAAGATTGAATGGTTTGCTTAAAAGATAAAAAGATGTTAAGCAACCAATTCAAGTATTGAGTAGTCATGTGAAATATAACAGCCGCAGTGCCACTGATGTGCATCATGAAGGAAACAGGTGGACTGAGATGGTCTATAATACACATTAGGTATTAGGTGGCCTATGATGTAAACATGTCTTATTTTGGTCATTGAATATTGTGACTACATATAAATTACATTTTTGTAAACTGTAATATAATTATAGAATGAAGTCCATAAATAGTTAATAGTAAGTCTTTAATAAAACAAATGGAGACATTAGATGTCTACAATTACATAAGTACACAAATCACTTACAACTTTGGGTAAAAACATTAAGTAATAATGAACTTTAAAAATTCAACTAGTGATATAAGTTTTACATACAAGACACGTGAAATAATATGAGAATATAATTGTTAAAGGTGGACATCTAAATCATTTCATAAAAACATCTGCTTCACGTACATATTAAGTGGAAAATTTGAGTTGCAGATAAGGTCGCAAAGAAATATATATGAAGAAGCATATTGAGTAGACAAAATTGGCATGTTAAGTGCATTTTCAAGTAGACATTAAATATGTATAGAAGAGGTAGTCAGTAATCAGACGGTAAAAAGGCATTAATTTCATACATGTCAACTACTTTTTGAAACAATTATTGTTCAATAAACATGAGTACGAATAAGAAAATAACATGATCTCCAATGTCAATAAACCATGACAGCTAACATAAGGTCCATTTCCAACAAACCATGGAAACTAAAAACCATGATAAAAAAATTAAAATGAAAGTGATATGACACTATGAATTTCAGAATGATGAACTGTAATATGATTTCTAGAAGACTTATTATTGTGCCGCCTTTCTTACAGCCTGAACCCCAATGCCACCATCAAGAAGTAAATTCTTCACTTGAATATATACGCATCTTTTCAGGTCTACTCGGTTGGCGTGTGAGAAGTAAGGTGAACTGCACCTTATGGACTACACATAACCAAATGATCCCAACCAAAACGATAACTAGTAGGTTGCACCACCGCATAATAAAGCGTAACTCCGTCATGTGTGAAGTAAAACGATAACTAGTAGCTATAGTTGTAACACAATAATCCTCGACGTTGATCAACAACTGCAACACGATGAACATGTATGAACTGCTCGAGTTGAAACTCACAACATGACTATATTTTGTCTTTGAGATTAACAACAAAACTTCTAGATATTTTGTCCACCACTTCAAACTCAAACCGAGTAGCAAGTTTAACCTAAAATAGCATACACAATATTAAAAGTAAGTACACAGTGAATGCAGAGTATGAAAATAATAAAAAGCGCAAAAATATCATTCGTAACATATGGTTTCCTAGATGCACTTGCATATTGATGTTTGATGGTATCAGCAACTACATCTATTGTTGCTTGACGGGGATTGGGCTTGTCTGATATGAAGAGAGCATGCATGAACAAAATCAAACTTGCAAAAAGAAAAAAAAGTACAGACAATAAGCAATCAATGAATAGACAATAAGTTATGATAATAGTATAATAGTAGAGCAAGTAAAGATAAAACACTATATATACAACTCGTTATTTCCAACAATGAAGTTTCCTACTAATTTGAAATAGCATGCATCTTCTGGTAATCCAGTGGCTTTTTTATCCAAATTTCAAACTAGTATTATCCCAACATTTGGGGGGCATTATTAAATCCAATACATATTCTTAATCCTTTCCTTCCACTAAAATGCACCAGTGCATGAATAGACCAAAACAGTAATAGGATGATGCATATGTTTCACCTTGAACTATTAAACCACAAGTAATTGGATGCATATGAATACTCTGAGAATCATCTCAAGAACCATTCACCCTTAGCATAATCAACAGTATGATCAACTTGGTATAAAAGTAGCAATAAGTAATAGCAGGTAGCTAGAATGGTATGCATGTTAAACACATTAAAACCAATCACAGTCTGATCAACACAGAGTAATCAATTCAAGACATTATGATTCTTTAAAGAAAGTAATTATCTCATTATCTAGAGTTCTACTTATAAATTATATGTGTGTGTGTCAGTGTGTGTGTGTGTGTGTGTGTGTATATATATATATATATATATATATATATATATATATAATCTCGTTAATTTGGAACAATATGTCAGCTAAAATTATGATAAATAACTAAGAATAAACACATTGAAAGCTTTAACTAAATAATTGGCAACCAAATAATCCACAAATTGGGCTGACCTAATATAGAGGATGGGAGGTTATTGGTGCAGTAAGAGTTCAAATTTCACTCTGCAGTAATGAAGGAACATGACGGAGGAGTTCTGCTTACAAATTAGAGAGAGATATCTCATAAATTTTCAATGATATGTCAACTAAGAAGGTCATAAACAATTAAGAAGATACAGAGGACTAAAAAAAGTAATAATTCAAACGAAAATAACAACAAATAGAAAACTTACAACAACAAATTGCAGAAGAAGCAATCCACAATTCGGTGTTGTAGCCGGAGGATAGAATGATATTCTTGGAGATGGATTTCAAAGAGCTCTCAGGTACGACGAACGAAAATTAAGAAGGAATTGTTGTCGATAGAATTTGAATTATCGATGCAGATCAAAGTAGATGGAGAAGAGGGTATATCGTCGAAATTGGCGCACAGTTCATACATGTTAGATTATATCGTGAATGGAGACGGAAGTTAGGTCAGTAATAGGCACTCAGGGGTAATCTAGGTAAGTCAGAATTAAGTTTCTTAAAATAGAACTAATATAGATATATGAAAGTAAATTAACTAACAAGGTCCTATTTTTGTCAAACAACTATGAAATGGTCTTACTTTGCACAATGTTCTCCACAAGGAATTTGTCTCCTTTCCATCTCTCTAAACCTCATCTCAAAGATTGGGGTTATGAGGATCCAATAAAAGGAGATCCATTAAGGAGATTCTTATTTTCCCTTAATCTCTAATTAGTCTCATTTTCTATGAGAAGATTTGAGAAAACACGCTCTTCGTATTATCACTATAACATATAATTTTAAGTGATTCACTACTAATGTCCTCGTGAACTAAAGTTGCTAAATATCACCTATGTAACAACTATAACTATATAGTGATAATAATTTCAAAACTAATTTTATATATCAATTGAAAACATTAAAATTATATATATATATATATATATATATATTCCATATAAGATTGAAAGTAATAAGTTCTAATGGGTAATATTCGGAACAAAGCAGAAGATTCAAATTAGATGAAGAAATCAGTTCAAATGAAAAAGACTCAAATAACAAAAATTCAAATACAAAGAAATAGTGGTTTTTAAATAGAAAATGAAAATCTGTCTAAGTAGAAGTAAAACATACGTAACACATTTCTTCAAATATTACGGTCATTTTTTTGCATTTTCCCTAATCATTAACCCTCGTTATGAATATTTATTTCTTTATTCTATTATTGGGAATAAATATACTTACAGAGACTTTGGTGGGCAGTAGGGGTATAAAAAAATACTTCCTCCGTTCCTTAATTAAGTTCAGAATCAACAACATTTCACGGTCTCGGACATTAACGTTTGACCACTGATATGTAAAAATACAAACTTATAAACTTATAATAAACTAACATTTCATTAATATATATTAAAATGAAACATTCAAAATTATTTTGATATTATAAATATTACGGTCTTCGACTAATTAACGGTCAAATTTAACAAAATTTGACTCAAAAAGTCAAACTGTGAACTCAAATGTGGCACATAGGGAGTAATTTTTTTGAGGCCCAATCTTCTTCCGGCCTAACTGTTCAAGGCCCAAAATTAAACCAGGAGCAACAGAGCGGGTCGACTTCCGGTCATCCACGAACGTCAATCGCCCTGCCAAAAGTGCAAGTCCGCAGACTGCCCGACCGGCGACCCCCTTCGCGGCCTCGCTCTCTGCCCTTCTCAATTTCCACCTTCTAACATTCCGTAGTTCCGGTATTTCTCCATACTCCAGTCCTTTTTTGTTGATCAGTAAATTAGTTCATTCATTAATTGATTTAATCCATAGTTGTTTTACTTGTTTATAAATGTTTAGTTGATTTATTGATTTTGTTGTTTGTTAATTGAATGATTAGTTCCTATTCATAAATATTTATTGTTGATTGTTAATTTGTTATCTATTACTTGGTTCTGCCCTTGTTGATATTCACTTTAGTTGATCAACTTCATAGTTTTTTAAGCTACGTATTATTTTATACGTCATAGTTGTTGACTAACTTGACTTATTTAATTTGAAGTGATTAGTTAGTTTATGTTATGTAATTAAATTTGGATTTTATGTTTGTCTTACAATTACTTTGGTAAATTTTTTGAATTATAAAGCTGTGATTAGTTAGTTTATGTTATGTAATTAAATTTGGATTTTATGTTTGTCTTACAATTACTTTGGTAAATTTTTTGAATTATAAAGCTAACAAATTATAATTCGTTACTGTGATTGTACTTTATAAATTTAACGAATTATATTTTTATTACAAAGGTCTTCAAATATTATTATTATCAACTATTTTTGTTAAGATTAAGCCCATTTTTAATTACCCACCCCTAGGCTTTCAAACCTACATGACCGGCCCTGTATACATAATCCAATTTCTTAATTGATATGTGTTCTACTTCTATTTCTGAAAACTGAAAAGATAAATCAATACTTCTTGTAGGATTTACCATGGAAGCAGAAGAAATCAGTCAAAGGAATAAGGAATAAGATGAAGTATAAGGAAGAAGAAGCTTTGAAGGCTTCAAATAGCCTTTTTATTGTTTTGGCTATGGTACTTAAATGTACTTTTGTCTTTCCTTCCTCGTCATTACACTCTTCTATCAACTATTTTGCCAAAATACCAAACATTCAGGTGCTTTATGCTTTTGTAAATAGCGATAGCAGCTAACATCTTGTTCGCTACTCTGCATTTGTTTTATCCGTGAGCAGCCAGAATGATGTTCAACCCAAGAATTTTCACAGCCACCGTCTTCTCCGCCAGGTACTCCCCTCGGTGCCTCTGCTCACTATTTTCTCTATTTTCACTTTCAACCATAGGTATTCCCGATAATCATACAAAACCACCGCACGAGGAACACACTCAGAACGACTATAACATAAATGAATCCCGTATCCAAAGTCAGTTGTCTGAGCTTCTTCCAATTCGTCACAACCCTTCAACTAAAATTTCCCCTGCAACTAGTTCATCTGATGCGCTCAAGCAATCGGAGAATGTGGGCCTTGATTGCTTTTTACAGCCAGAAGATAAGTTCCGAGGTGTTTTTCTTCAGAAACTTAGGGGAATATCTTCAATTGAGAGGGCACTGGCTTCTGTTGGTGTAGACCCAACCCTAGATTTGGTAGCCAAAGTAGTGGACAGAGGGAACATAGGAGGTGAGGCCATGGTCACATTTTTCGATTGGGCGATCAAACAGAATTCAGTAGTAAAAGAGGTGAACACTTACAATATAGTCCTTAAAGCATTAGGAAGAAGGAAATTTTTCACATATATGATGGCATTATTCGAAAGAATGATTGGTGAAGGACTCATTCCCACATCCGGCACGCTATCTATTGTTTTGGATAGTTTCATTCGAGCTGGTCAAGTGTCTAAAGCTATCCAACTGTTTATCAAATTAGAGGACTTTGGCTTAAAATGTGATACAGAGACACTGAATGTCCTTTTACAGTCTTTGTGCAGGCGGTCACACGTGGGATCCGCAAGTTCCTTGCTAGTTAAAATTAAGGATAGAGTTCCTTTTGATGTTATGACCTATAATACAGTCATTGGTGGGTGGGCTAAATGTGGCAGAGTTAATGAAGTTGAAACGACTTTAAAAAAAATGGTAGAAGATGGCTTTGATCCGGATAACTTGACTTATGCTTATGTTCTTGAAGGTTTAGGTAGGGCTGGTCAGATTCAAAATGCAGTCAAGATATTTGAGGGTCTAGATGAGAAAGAAGGGTGTATGCAACATGTTGAGGTTTACAATGCACTGATTTCTAATTTTATGACAGCAGGACAGATTGACGAAGGATTGAAGTATTACAGAAAGATGGGGAGTAAAAATTGTGAGCCAAACAATGAGACATACGTAAGGCTTATTTCTGCCTTTCTTAGGGCAAGAAGAGTGGCAGATGCAATTGAGATGTTTGATGAGATGATAGGTCGAGGTATAATTCCCAATACTGGAACTATAACCTCTTTCCTCAAGCCTTTGAGTAGCTACGGCCCACCGCATGCTGCTTTGGTTATTTATAATAAAGCTAGAGAAGCGGGGTGCGTCATATCACTAAGTGCATATAAGTTGTTGCTTATGAGGCTTTCTAGGTTTGGGAAATGTGGGATGCTACTAAACATATGGAATGAGATGCTAGACAGTGGGTATTCCTCTGATGTGGAAGTGTATGAGTATGTCATCAATGGACTTAGCAATGTGGGGCAGCTGGAGAGTGCCGTGCTTGTGATGGAGGAAGCATTGTGTGAGAGGGGGTTTTACCCCAGCAAGCTTATTTGTAGCAAGTTGAAGAACAAACTTTTGGCGTCAAATAAAATGGAGACTGCTTACAAGCTTTCACTGAAGATAAAAGCTGCACGCTGCAATGAAAACGCTCAAAGATACTGGCGTGCTAAAGGGTGGCATTTTTAGTCTTTATGTATGGCACTTGCCTGATTAGTGCCTATTTCCTTTTGACGACTCTATTTCCTAATTTGTTAGATTGCTTGTTTATTTTCAGTGTATCATAGGGGTGGTATCTCCACATTTAGGCAACCTTTTTGAAACACTGGGCTTGCTTGGTTTGGGGATGTGGGAGGGAAGGGGTGGGGAAGCTGATTTTATTTTCTTTTACTAATTTATTTCCATTTGTTAGTTTTGGACTACAATTAACTATGTGATTAGTTAGATAATATGTTACCTATAGTTTTTTTTATTTCCACTCTATTTCCAACCCATTAAATATAGGAATACTATAGAGATCAAGACTAGTTGACTAAACCTTCAATTTTAGCTTACTTGATGGGTCAATAGTGTATTTTGATTAATCAATCGTGTACTCTACTGCATATGTACATTGTTATATTATTAGCCAAAAAAATTGTGCTATTGCAAACAGCGAATATCTAGTTAAATACTGTTCATTTTATGAGCATTAGTGATTATCAAGATATCTAGCAGATTCCATAGTACCATCCACGCCAGTTATTTTTTATACAGTGACATAGGTACGTACTTGAACGCAATTTTATTGTCAGGATCCCGATCTAATCGGTACGAGATTTTAGATTATTTTTATTTTGGACATTTTTTGTTTTGAATCTAAATCAAAATGGAATTTGGTCATCGTTTTACCCGATTGATTTGGTTTTTATGGTTCAATTGAATGCACCCCTACTCACATTTTACCTTTCAAGATAACAATTGGACATGAATACACTCAATGAAGGATGAAGCAAGGGAAAAAACTTTGGTATATTGACCAAGGTATGGGAAGCAACAAAACGAATAATAAAACCGTTGTCAAGAATGGGTAAAAATTACAGTCTGATTTTCGTTTGTACCCTATTGATGACGTTTTTACGGTTGAATTGAACCCAGCCCTACTCACATTTTACCTCTCAAGATAAACAATTGGAGGCAGCAAAAACGAATAATAAAAATTGTTGTCAAGAGTGGGATTTGAACCCACGCCCTTTCGGACCAGTACCTGAAACTGGCGCCTTAGACCAACTCGGCCATCTTGACTTACGTTGCTAGGTAATGAGGATAAACATAATTAAAGATAGCTTCCACGCGTAATGCCTTTTCCCAACCACTTTGCGACCGAAAAATACGGTAGAATTACAGTGAAAGCTTGAAAAAACGAAGCTCATAATCGGTTTAATAAATTCCTTAAATGAAAAAAAAAATCAGTTTCCTAGTATTTTATAAGAATTAAAATTTATTTAGAACTTTTGCATAAAAAAATTGAAATTTGTTATAAAAAAAACGACGTTGCCCTTTCAAAAAAGAATTATGTTGCTAATATTGTTGAATGTCGTGCAAATCAAATCTGGAGAGAAGGCAACTTCTTTCTTAACCACATGAGCAAAATGCTTTCAAATCAACTTATCAACATATTCCGTACTAAATTCTTCAATTTTAATGAAAGTTGTAACTGATGAATAACATTGATGAAAACGAAGTATATATCACAAATCACAATATATATCTACAAAAGTCAGCCCAAATCATACCAAACTAACTAGATCATTGCCCATATAGGCAGCTCTCACTTTCTAGTTTTCAACTTTTTGAAAATTAAAAATTAGATACTTGTTGCAACAAATACTGACTTTAGTTATTGGTTGCTAGCTAACCTAGCTTTCGAAGTTAACATAATAAATAATTGCTCCCAATATGAGTAAAACATAACACATTTCCCTAAATAGGAGTTAACTCCTAATCTTCCCCAAATAAGAGTAAACATTAATTTTTTACCCCTAATACCTCTATTCTAATTAATTATCCCCCCTAGTTCCCTTGGTCAACAAGGGCAATCCGTCGGTGGCAGGGCAGGGCGTTGGTAGCGGCGACAGTCCGGTGGTGGCGGCGGCAGACGGCGAAAACCCCTATTCTAATTAAGTACCCCCCCCCCCCCCCCCCCCCCCCCCCGAGTTTCCTTGGGCAACCAGTCGGTGGCGGGGCAAGGCATTGGTAGCGGGGCAGTCCGGTGATGGCGGTGACAGGCAGCAGCGGGGATGGTGGCAGGAAGAATGGCTGAAAATTCTGATTTTTTTTCTCACCGGATCTCTGACTGGCGGCGGTACTGTAGCAACAGGCAAGGGTATCCTTGTCCATTTAGAAAAAATACTCCTATTTTGGGAATTTAAAAACTCTACTATTTTTGCACAACTCCTATGTTTTACCCCTCTTTTGGTAATTGTCTCTAACATAATTTCTTGTAATAATGCACAGGAAGGTTTGATCTTCATAAATACAAAAATGCTATTGCTACCCCCATTTTGTACCCCATTTTGTACTCACCCCCTATGTTTGTGGCTCACAAATGCACTTCATTAAAATGAAGCAAGTCATTTAATGTGTTGGGCTTTTGTGAGCCACAAAAAAAGGGTGAGGTATAAAATGGGGTACAAAATGGGGTAGTTATAGCAAAGTTGAAATAAATATATATAGTACAGGAAGGTACACTGAAAGGGGCATAAAATTGGGAACTACAAAGATTCATCATTCCTTTTCCTCTAAAACTACAGAGATCTCCAGGTTTTCATTCCCTCTTCGAATCTTTAACTTCACATTATCCCCAACACTGTGGTCATCCAATGCTTTATACAAATCAGTTTTACTTCTGACCTGCAGCGAATATGTAAAACAATTAGATTTCTTGCCAACTTCACGTATACTCCCTCCGTCCCCTTAAGTTTGTCCCGTTTTACCTTTTTCGTCCGTCCCACTAAGTTTGTCCCATACCATATTTGGTAACATTTGAGTGGTTAGAATTCATTCTTACTTTATTTACACTTTATCAATTCAATACCAACCACACAATTCCACTTTTTCTTAAAAACCACACCACACCCCTCCGTCCCAAACTTAGGGGGACGGAGGGAGTATGTTTTAAATATTGACGAGTATAATGCACAATTTCGTGAATATATAAAATTTAATGTAAATTCTATCTAGTAATCTAGTATACCTATAATCATATAAGTATAAAGTTTTTACTAATAAAATGCTAGTTAAAGGAGGCAAAGTATTTTAAGGATCTTTGAATCAGCTTAAAATTCTAGAACCAAATATGATAGTAGAATATAAATTCTAAGAATATACCTTTTAGGTTCAATGTTTTACTATCACTTATCTATTATTTGTGACCCAGCTACTTTTTTAAGAAGAGGGTACCGAAGAGCCGCCCCTACCCATACCAAAAGTTGGTACAAAATGGGGCAGGTTCTATTTGCATTAGGGAAGGTATTGATTTCTTAATTTGTAACATAAATTGAGGAACGGAAACACTTTTAAAATAGCCATTCCATACACGCTTAATCCTAATAACAATGGTAAACTCACACGCTTGTTGTCAACTGCTTCAATGATATCCCCAAGTACAATATTGCCAGCAATGCCCCTTGAGGTAGGGAGAATCCCAGCCTTGGCTGCAAGACTGTTTGCAGGTACCTATGCAAGTAATGCAAGAGTGTGGGCGATGATTAAATAGTAGTGTGTGAGTTGACTTGAAAGAGAGGGCTTGCATCATGCTTGTGCCTGGCAGGTATCAGAAGGGTGGGATACCATACCAGCAAAACAAGAGCTCCATTGCTAACATTGAGTTGATTTGCGGTTGAATCAGAAGCAATTTCAATATTTAAACCAGCTCGAGTAACCTGAATTTACGATACAAGCTAAGTCAGAAGGCTGTTTCTTTTGTACCGGTACTCTCATCTCTACTCCTTACTATGAAGTTGGGTCCAACTGTTTAACTCACCCCAAATAAATTTTTACAATACAGTCATACAGATATATATGGTCAACATCTATGGGACATTTAATATGTTCCTCTGCCCAAACCAGGCAAAACAACTTGAGATATGGATAAATGAGTCAAAGTGACCCCAAACAGGCTACTCAAACAATAGGGGCCGAGCAAATAAACAATTCACAATCAGATAGAGATCTGATAATTGTTCCTTGCAGGACACTTAACACTAGTGAAGCAAAGTATAAAGAGAGGGAAAAAGGCAGCCCGATGCACGAAGGCATCTCCACACGGCAATGGTTTGGGGATGAGCCCACCACAAGGGTGTATAAGGGGGGCAAGCCTTCCCAGTCGAAACTAAGAGCTCACAAGCTTAGAAGGAAGAGAAGATTGAAAAAAGTGCTCTACAAGAATAGCAAGATGCCTAAAACTAAGAGTGCATACTTTTCCAGATTGGATCAGCTGAGGCACAATTCTCATTACAGTTGCAGATGGAATGGCAAAACCAACCCCTGCTGATGTTCCTGTCACACAAATATCATGGGAAAGAAAAGAGAATCCGAATGATATATGTTTGCAATACCCCAAAAAGTAAATAAGCTACACTACTGCAGAAGACTAACATCTCTATAAAGTATAAACTAGCAGAACCGCCCAAAGATTTTTCCTCTATCAGACTTCTGTTTCCTTCTGAACAATTGTAAAACTAACGAATGAACTCTTTACCTGTCCGAGTGAATATTGCGGTGTTAATTCCGATTAAATTTCCTTTGGAATCCAATAAAGGTCCTCCACTGCAACCAAGAAAGGTAAAATGCATTTAAAAAAATGAAACATGAGTTATTATCATGTATTAGATGTCCAACAGAAAGGAGGTATATAAAAGCAAATCCTTCAACAAAAGATACCTGTTTCCAGGATTGATGGCAGCATCAGTTTGAATTCCTCCACTGATTGTAACTCCTGTTTGACTGAATATGTCGCGGTCTAGTCCACTAATAACCCCAACAGTGAGTGTATGATCAAATCCGAAAGGATTTCCAATGGCTAAACATTCTTGACCAACTTTTAGAGAAGATGATTTCCCTATCTTGGTTGGCCTCAACAGGTCTTCAGATGCCTCCACCTTGAAAAGTATAGATAGTTAATTATCTCAACCATGGCATATTGTAGATTTGCAGATCAACTGCTACCATGAAATTCCTAAAAGCATAAACTTTCATTTCACCAAGTTGATAAAATTAACTTTTAACTAAGGGATAACATTAAAAAACTGGGAAAGAACTCAGGAATCCCATGTACTATGAGAAAATTCTTTAAATAGGATTAT